CTTGCCTGCTGAGGATTGTCTAAATAGTTTTTGTGCTTGATACTAAAGCAGGCCACCCCCTTATGTTCATGAAAGCAGCCAAACTGGGACCCACAGATACCCTAGGGATTTCTATGTATTCGGCTCCCCAGGAATTTTTAAAAAAATGATTCCAATTAAATAAAAGAAACCATGAATATTAAAAATAGGCTGACATGAACTGAATATGCTCCTGAGGACTTGGAGAGCAATTAACAGAAGGGGGGAGGCAGTAAAAGCCTCCCGTTCATCCCCTAAGTACTAACAGGATCCTAGAGAAGGATATTTGGGTGATATGAAAGGGGGGGGATTTTTTCAGATTATTTCCCCTTTGTAGGATTGCCATCTCTGAGTTGGGAAATTCCTACAGATTTGGGGGTGGAGTCAGGGAAGGGTGGTATTTGGAGAGAGAACGAGAGCTCAGTAGGGAGAACCACAGATTCCATTTGAGATAGGAGCTGTGCCTACATTACTGTGGAAACTGAGTTCCATTGTCAGGCGTACAACTGAAGAAGACTGCTTTGAAACGTCTGGCATACCTGGGAAGGCCGTTTCCGGCTGTTAGATGTTTGTTTGTGCTTTGGGACATCCTCTGCCTTTTTTGTGGACTTTGAGGTCTTTTGGACACTATTATATTCAAAGGATATAGAAGAGTCTCTTGTTGGATATTTTCCACTATCATCAAATTGTATTTTGAATCTGCAAATACTGTTTTTGAATTGTGACCACCAATTCTATTGTATCTTCAATTTATTGTTATTGTACTGCAATAGACTGATGTCTACTGTTTACTTGCGAAAGTTGTGTATCTTTTGATGGTCTACCCTGCAGTTTATATTTGTGCATACTACATACGCTTGAGGTCCCAATTGTTTGGCTCATCTAGAGGTTGGCAGCCATACTTTCCCAATGAAACCATTTTCCTTCCATCACCTTCTTCTGGTCACTATTTTCCCTGCTGTTACCAGAGGGCTTTTTGGGGACTTAACAAAAACTAGTAATTGGTATAGCAATTACTGATCTTTTTTAAAAGCCCTAAAAATCCCCCAAAGTCAGTATTGTCTCCTCAGGTGCAGACTGACAGCAGCTCTCCTAAATCTCAGGTAGAAATCTTTCACATCACCTACTGCCTGGTACCTTTACGTGGAAATACTGAGGACTGAATCTGGGACCTTCTTCATGCCAAGCAGAGCCACAGCCCCACCCTTTCATTTGATCTTTTATATCTAAAGGATGGTAGCCAGAGAAAACCATAGAGTTGCTTCCTTTGTTCTCAAGAGCAAAGGACTCCTTAGAAATCTCCTAGAGAGAGAGGCTAGCAGTTTTATATGGGCAAAACAGGAGGGGTCTGAGAGAACTGTTGGCAGAGAGCAACTTTCTTTTTGTAAGGGGAAAGGTTTTGGAAGACGTCCCTCAAAATGTTCAGAAATGGCTTAATGAGAAGGACTCTAACAGCTAAAAAAGTTGAAACAGATTCCTGGTAATTTTAAGATTAGTCTGCCTACGTTTTACCATCATAGAAGAGTAAGTTTTATATCTGGGGGAGTCGGGGAGAAATGATTGCATTCATAATCCATTTCCTTCTTCCATTGCTCAGTAGCTGTTAGATATCTTTTGCTCAATTACATGGTTTCTCTTTTTACCATCAATTACTGCAAATACCAGTAAAGTTAATTATAATTGTAAACGGGTCTTATGGGATCAGTCTGCACCCCCAGGAAAAGTCTAACTTGGCCCGTTCTTACAAAGATTTGAAGAGAAAGGGGGCAGATCTCTGTCTCGATTGGGATGACTCTTAAGTGATGTTTATTTATATTTAGTTATTATTTATTACAACATTTATTATCTGCTTTTCCTTGTGGTTCAAGGTGGCTTACAATCATAGTTTTAGAAAGTTCAATTAAAATATTCAAATAAAATAATATTCAAATAAAATAACAAAGCCTAAATCTAGGCTTGCCAAGTCCCCCCGGGGGGCGGGGAAAACCCCGCTGCAGAGGCCCGTTCCCTGCCACCAACGGATTGGGCCCCGGGGGGAACCCCACCCCGACGTGCACATCACCAGGAAGTGATGCGACCATGCCGGATACGCTGGGGGCGGGGCCACGGTCATCCGAGGGAAAACTCTATGGTTTTCCCTTGGATGGTCGTGGCCCCGCCCCAGCGTGCCCGGCGGCGTCACGTCACCTCCGGGTGACGTGCGTGTGGCGCGCTCCTGGAATGAGCCGGGAGTCCCCCGCTCCAGCAGCAGGTAAGACTTGGCAACCCTACCTAAATCTCCCCCCACCAAGCCTGCCAATTCAAAACCCTTTAAAAGGCCTGGCAAACAAGTAGCCCTGTCAATGCCTCCCAAAAGATCTCCAAGGAGAAGGCCCACCTCACGTCTTTAGGGAGTCCATTCCAGAGAGTAGGAGCCATGATGGAAAAATCCTGGGCTCTGGCTTGATGCCAGATGGGCTACCCAAAGTGGTGGGATAGTGCAGTGGTTCCCAACCTTTTTGGTATGGTGACCCACATGTCCAAACGGGGCAAGGGCTCCATTTAGTTCAATTAACTAACAGATCAGACCTCCACATCTTGAATGATGCAGTTATGGGAGATATCCCTGAGCAGTCTTCATACTGGTCAGGACATAGGGCCACTACCATTGATCTGTTTTTGATTTCATGTGACCTGCTGGGCTTAATGGGCTCACTTAAAGGTGGGGATACGCTTAGACAGCAGTCATTTGCCGATTGTCCTGTCTCTAAAAACTAGGAACCAGATAGAGCAAAGTTAGAGTCCAGTGGCACCTTTAAGACCAACAAAATTTTATTTGGGGTGAGCAGTGAGCTTTCGTGTGCAAGCAGGCTTCATCAGACAAAAAAAAAAGTGTACTTGTACACAGGGCTTTTTTTGTAGAAAAAGCCCAGCAGGAACTCATTAGCATAATAGGCCACACCCAACAGCAGAAACCCATTAGCATATTAGGCCACACCCACGACAGCACCGCTCATTGGCATATTAGGCCACACCCCCATGTCACCAGAAGTGTGCTCATCCAGCCACACCCACCTTTTGCTTCTTATTCTGTTTACCTTGTTTGTTGTCCAAACCCAGGGCTTTTTTGTAGCAGGAACTCCCTTGCATGTTAGGCCACACACCCTTAATGTAGTCAATCCTAATGAGTTTCTGCTGTTGGGTGTGGCCTATTATGCTAATGTGTTCCTGCTGGGCGTGGCCAACTTGGAAGCCAGTCGGAACTCCGTTCCGGTGCGTTCCTGCCCAAAAATAGCCCTGCTTGTACACAAAAGTTCATATTGAACAAAATTTTGTTGGTCTTAACGGTGCTACTGGACTCTTAACTTTGTTTTGTTGCTTCAGACCAACATGGCTGCCCGCCTGGACCTAGGAACCCGATAGTTCATCTAGCTGAGTTCCCTGCAGAACTGACACCAGACTCTGCTTATAAAAGAGTCAAATGGACTGGGAAGGTAAATAAACACACCACAGAATCCCTCAACTCACAAAAAGCCTCCCAGTTACACACTAAGATGATCACAGCGGAATCACATAAGTCAGTCATTCAACTCTACATGACATTAATATGCGGATGGTATGAGGTGGCAGTGAAATCACCCACTTACCCTGATTGCCCCAAAACAAGACACATCTCGAAACCTTGGTTCGACTGAGAGTGTGTTACAGCCAAAAACCAACATCTTAGTTCAGCCATTATAGGCAGAGCAATGCCAGAATTTCCCCCCCCCCAGAAGTACAAACCCAAAAGAGAGGGTGTGAAATGTTAATTAAATCATAAAAGAGATAAGCCCAAAGGGCATTCTGGCGTCAGTTTATTCAGGCAGCCCGAGCCAAAGACTGCTCCCTCTTTTGGTATATTATCTCAGGAGGATTCCAGGCAGACACTCCCAATTTATTCTGTACAGTCCCTTCCAACACTGGGGAGACACGTTTTCCCACACTTTATGCCGCAGAGCTGAACACAGAGGTGGGGCATGATGTCGATATTGGGAACCTCCCAAGATGGCCCCCAATTACAATAACTGAAGTAAAAAGGCTAGTAATTGGTCTACTTGAGACAGAGAAATCCTCAGGTCATGACATGATACCACTGGAGCTGATTAAGATGAGCATTGAGCGGTGGGCACCAGTCATGGCCACTCTTTACAACAATTGATCAGACAGCACGGATTCCTAAAAAATGCGACAAAACTAATTTGTCCAATTACTGTCCAATTAGTTTGCTCACTGTAGTGAGCAAGTTCTATGTGAGGCGCCTATGTTGGAAACTCTGGGATTGGCTAGACCAAGAGAACATCTAGGGATGCCAGACCCCCCTCCCGGTGGGGGCAGGGGTCTCCCGCTGCCACACTCCACCTCAACCGCTGACCAGCTGGCCGACGGGGGGGGGGAATTACCGTCCCCCAAAGGGAGGAACACCCGGCATTTCAGCAACATGCCTACATGACCTGGAAGTGACGTAGGCACGTTGGGGCTGACACA